ATAAATCAATAAGGTAATTTTTTATATAATTTGATTTTACACAGTCATATTGTTAAATTAATATCCTGGTCTTCATTCAAAAGTTTCTAGTCCCTAACAATCATCGTAAAAACTTTTGTCAAAAATTTGTATGAATTAGAAATTGATAATTGGAAACAATTTAAGCTTTTCTGTAATTACGTCTTTGTCGCTAACATGTGTAAAAATAAGAGTAAAAATTACATAAGAAAATAAAGAAGTTTTGATTTTCTACAACAATGTGTACATTTTTGTTTGAATCATATCACGATTTTCGTTTACGCGCTACATAGATAATTTAATTTTAGAAGTTCCTGGCTACAACTAAATAGTTTAATATATTATGATATATATCATAACGCGTTTTACAATAGAAAATTAAATATTTTAACAAAAAAGGAGAATTACGATGCATTTATATTGCGAATATGATATGAATGCTGTTGATAGATTTAACCATAAAAAAGACATATATGTAAATGTTAATGAATATTCCACAGTATTCAAAGGCACGATTATAATTTTAATCCAATTTTGTAGGCAAGCATACACGCAAAATTTACCATAAAAATATCGATAAAAGTTCAATTTGAAAAGTATGTACTTATTGTTAGATTATAAAATAAAAACAAAAATTTTCTTGTTCTAATTCGCTGGATACACTTGATGTGGCTATATTCCAATTTATCAAAACAGCCTGAAAAAAAATTGGTAGTTTTTCTTTCTAATGATAAATATACAAAAAAGTGTTGGTTTATTGATGATGTGCATTATATTAATTTTCTCTCAATATGAGATATTAGGTTTAGTGATATGATGTGATATTATTGAGTTTCGGTCTTGCAACCTGTAAAAATGTGAAAAACATTTAAAAGTGATATTATAATTAAAAGTAAAGCCAAACATCGTAATTTGAGGCATAAAGAAATATAATCAAATTAAAATGATGTGGCCATCTTATATACATCTGTAAATAACTAATAAAAAATAAGTACATTATAATATAGAGACTGTAATTAATTTAGATTTGTTTAAAGTAAAATTTCTTTAGGGAGTAAAGCTGTACAAATGCAATGGAAATAGCGTTACGCCCTAACATTTTGTCATTCGCTTTTGATGAGATCATTCGTATACACGTCGATTGTGTTCAGTTATAGTATATTATTCTAATATACTATAAGTGAAAGTAGAGCTTTGCAGCATCAAATTACAAATATGTCTGAGAAGAGTATACGTTATACCATCAGTAGTACAGAAATTCTAACTAGACCAACTCTTTGCTTGTCTTCCAAAAAAAATGGTATTAAGAGGTAGGGGAAAGTCCCGTAACGCCGGACGGCACCAAGCACCGGACACTCTATTTAATACTTAATACGTATTATTTGAACGAGTATAAATCTTTTCAGGGGCACACAGGATCACGCGCCAGCCTCGCCTGCGACGCACATGCCACAGCGAGAGCAACCTTTTCTTGTTTTAGGCGCAAAATCACGGCGTTACCTAAATAATATTTAGTAAATATTAATCGAAGTAATTCTAATATTTATGCATTTACATTTGAGTGGTATGCAAAAATAAAAGTTGTACTTGATAATTATCCGTGAAATGGTAGAATATCATTAGATCATTTAACAAATTTTAGTACGTGCCATCAAATGAACGTCGTCCCTTAGTGCCGGACAGTTAACATATTGATATTTCTTGTGAGATTTACGTAATTTATTCCAATTATTTAATTTTATTCTGTATGAGTGAAAAGCTATGAATGCACCAGCGAGAGCATCAGTGTGGCCCAGCCAAAAGGGTGTGAATAGTGACTTTTTTTTTGCAATATCTTAGAATATTCGTCAAAGACACATGTGCAAACATTCCAGAGCGTGGAAATGGCTACATAGGTGATCAATGCAGGTTACTTTGAAATGTCCGGTACTAGGTGCCACTGTTTAAAACATGTTTTTTATTGCAAAGTTTGATGGACAGTATTAATTATTTTTCAACAAAGATTGCGGTTTTGTTAATTTAGTTTGATTTCTAACTATGTTATCTAAAATAAATCATAATTTTAATAAACATTTCGTAAAACATTTTTTGATTTATTTATAAATAACCTTAGGTGTTCGCCACTTGTGGACTTCCCCTTATTATCACAATAGCTTATATAACTGATTGCTATTGAATAATAGTAATAAATATTACTATTCAATTCATTTATAATAATTCAATAATTTAAATATATGCATATGTGCAGAATGAATTTTAATCGAATAATTTTCATAATTTTAATAATTTAAACATTACAAGTCATGCAAATTAATCAATAAAAGTAAGCAATAAAAACAACAAATCATTGGAATTGCTGCTGCATTAATCAACTAACCAAGAAAATTATGTGTTCAGTTTGTTTAAAACGAACATGAACACAAATATATTTGTACAAATGTATAATAAATCATATCCATAAGCTATACTGTAGTTTGGACGTAATAGTCGTTAGATTTAGAGATAATATCCTTATTATAGCTTATGGCATGTTCATTATTACAATATTACGACTTGTTTAAGAGTAATAAATGTAATAATTAGTATTTGTTCAAGCTTGTGTGTAAAGTATACCAAACTGAAAGCAAAAATAGAAAATACGACAAATTTGTCAACTTTACGAAGACTAATTATATGACAAGGTAGGAATTGTGCTTTTAATTTCTTAATACATATATAATTATAATAATTCGATAAAATCTTAAGTATGCTAATATCATAAAGTTGTAAAACGTATGAAGTCTGTTATATAAAATGAATGCATGTCTGCCTGCCTAACTGTGTATTTCCTATATGCATTCATAAACCATACATCCAATCGTCGTGAAAATTTGGGAAAGTGTTAGGTATATCACCGGAGAGGTTTCCGCATTTTTGAACGATTTTCTTTTAATTTTTTAACTGAAAAATACATAGAACCTTCACTTTTCACCCTTTTACCACAAACCGCTATTTCCTAAGAATTATTATAACCATATTTCATCTCGATTTCTGTCAATAAACGTTTTTGATTGAATTTCGATAGAGATTTTTCAAGCTGATGAAAAGTTCAATTTTACATAAAAAAAATAATTTCATCAAGTTTAAGAAACAGCAACCCTCAATTTACACCTTCCTACCACACTCCCCAATTTCATTAATCAATTTTAACCTGATCGGCAACTGATCAATAATTGTCTTCTTAGACATTTTTCACTGAACTTCGATTCAGATTTTTCAAATTAATGAAAAAGGTTAAACTTTCTCAAAAATACATTTTTATTTTTATCATGGGTTTATTACCCCTAACTATCTTCTGAATTTTATATATCATATATAAAATTCTTCTGTAATGATGTATGTAAATATACTCCTCCTAAACGATTATTCGGATTTTGATAAATCCTTCTGAAGTTTGTTAAGGAAATTTTCTTAGGATGTATGTGATTATAAATACATAATATAGAAATAAATGGAAAATTGTTCAAAACTACATGTCATTGTCTCATATTGAAAGAATTTGAGACATTGTTTGGCATTGAAAGCAAATGAAAACTGTCATCTGCCAAAAATTTCAATTTACTTAT